GTATAAAAACTTAAGATTTTTATATTAACATCAAAGTACGGAAGCACGGAAGCACTAGTTACACCGTTTTCACTACAGCATAGCGTCGTTAAAGACGGGGCTGGCAGCAAAGTTACGGCGCGGCGAGCATGTTTGCCTACTGCGACCATTTTCATTAATTTCTCATTATTTCCTTAGTATTGTTACTTGTACTATTATTTATTTTTATTTATTAAAACTTTCATGCACAAAGTTGTACATATTTCGAACTTAGTACCATAGGGGATTCTCTCCCAGTCAACCATTAGGCTAAACAGAGATAGACAAACAAGAAGCGGTGCATCAGTAATCAAAATAGAAAGGGCAAAAAAATTATATATTCGTATAAAATATATACACATACATACATACACATATATACTTAAGTACACACAATATATATATATATATATATATATATATATATATATATATATATATATATATATATATATATATATATATACATAATATATACAAGCATACAGTACATATATTAGATATGAGCGCCGAGACAGCGCGCCGCCGTCGCAGTGAGGTCATGTCGGCGCGTCGCCGCCGCGTGAAGCACGCGGCGCGCCGTCGCGACTAGTCGCAACTTTCTTTCCCGCTCACATGCGCGGCCTGGCCGCATTAGTTTGCCTTGTCGCTTCGCCACGCTTGTCGCTCATTCAGTCGAGTCGAATATTTCACCGTGTAAATGTGTATTGTTGTGTGGTGTTAACAATGGAGCTCACAGAATACCGGCGTGAAGTGAAAGTTCTGCTTCTGCATTTCATCTGGCAAAATTCCGCTCAAGAAAATAACTGCTCGGGGCAAGCTGAGCAACAAGGCCAAGGCGACCCCAGCCACGCTATCCGTGATATTCTGCAACATCAGGGGACTTCCCTCAAACCTAAATGCTGTCCACTACCATCTCGAGATGGCGAAACCGGCCTTGCTCTTACTGACCGAAACACAGGCATCCTCTCCAGCTGATACTTCGTATCTCTCCTATCCGGGGTACAAATTGGAACACCCCTTTGTGCCTCGGGCTGGAGTTTGCGTATACATCAGAGAGGACATCTGTTCTCGACGCCTCGGCAGTCTTGAAGGTTCGGACCTGTCCAGCCTTTGGCTACGCGTAGAGAGCGACGACCATCATGCGTCTACGGTTGCCTCTATAGGTCCCATAGCTGTAATGCGGAAACAGACCGATTCATCGATCACGTCCAAATGGCTTATACATACCTTGCTACAGCAGATCCCATCCGTAGAGATTGTGATCCTCGGTGATTGTAACGCCCACCACGCCAAATGGCTCGGTTAACGTTTAACCGATCATGCGGGAAGACCTGTTCAGGTTTTTGCCTTGGCATATGGTCTGACACAACTGGTTATTTCGCTTACGCGGATTCCAGATGTGGATGATCATGCGCCTTCCCTGTTGGACCTTCTGCTGACCTCTCATCCGGATAGATATCAGGTCTCCGCCGACGCCCCTCTTGGCTCTTTGGACCATTGTCTAGTCTGGAGTATGGTGTCATTCACACTAAAATCGCGGTTGCAATCTGCAGGCTGTCGCCGTGTTTGGCACTATAGGTCGCCGATTGGTTTAGGATACGGTCCTTCTTTGCATCTTACCCTTGTGGGCAGGTTTTCTTCTTGCTGGACGATTCCAACGTTGTTGCTAATTCTGTCGCTGATGTGGTACTTCAGGCTATGGAACTTTTTATTCCTTCCTCTGTGGTGCCCATCGGAGGCAGATGTCAGCCATGATTTGGTCGCTCCTGTAAAATAGGATGACGTTATAAGCAGGAGTGTTACCGGGCCTGGACTGAGTATCAACGTCTCGGGATGTAACCACTAGTACCCTTAAAAAGAATTATAATTCCACCTCCAGGTCCTTCAAAAGAGTCATTGCCAAGGCAAAGTCAGAGCACACAACAGAATTGTCGAAAAACTAGTTCACCTTCCTTCGAGAACCCGTGCATTCTGGTCTATCGCTAAGGCTGTCTAAGGAAACTTCTGTCAGCCATCTCTTCCATCTCTGCACAGGGAGGACGACTCACTGGTCCATACCGTAAAGCCGATCTGCTACGCTCTTTCTTTGCATCCAACTCGACTCACGATGACGGGGGGAGCACATCGCTGATCATTCCGTGGTGTGAGTGCTCCATACCGGATGTGCAGTTCACACAGCCGTCGGTTCAAAAAGCACTCCTCTCTCTGGACATTCACAAGTCGAGTCGGCATGAAAATCCCTCCAATTGAGCTGATGACGTGTGATCCAGAGTTGGCACCGGTTCTAACGCGTCCTTTCCGGTACTCCTACTCCCTAGGCGTAGTCTCGAATTCACGGAAGACGGCTTTCGTCCACCCGATCCCTAAAAAAGGCGACCGCTCAGACCCGTCTAAGTACAAGCCTATCGCCATTACCTTTTGTTCTCAAAATAATGGAATCCATTATAAACTGCCAGCTCATACGGTACCTTGAGGACCACCAGATTAGTGACCGTCAATACGATTTTCATTGGGATCGATCAATTGGTAATCTTGTGGTTTACTTGACTTATAGATGAGCGGAAGTAGTAGAGTCCAAGGGAAAGGCATTGACCGTTAGTTTGGATATTGCGAAGGCCTTCGATCAGGTTTGGCACAAACCGCTTCTTTCGAAGCTCCGTTTCTATGGGCTTCCCGAGAAATTGTACAATTGGATCACCAGCTTTCTTGCAGATCGGAGCATTTTCTCAGTTTCAAAGCACTCCCTTTGTTGCCTCAGCCAGTATCGGAATCCTCGGCGTCGACATATCGAGTGATGTGCAATTTCGTGTTCACTTGGAGGAGAAGGCCAAATTTGAATCTAAAAAGCTTGGCGCGTTCAGCAGAGCGGGACAGTATTTCATGCCGGCACTCCACCTGCCACTTTACAAGGCGCAAGTTCGGCCTCACATGGTATACTGTTCCCATCTATGGGCTGGGGCTCCCTAGGGCTTTATTAAAAATATAAAGCTGTTTGGTAACAACAAAATGATTTCCTTTAAGAATTTTTTTCTCTTAAAAAAATATCTAAGGACCACGCCGCCGAGGAAATTTTGAGGCCACGCCGCCGCCGTGGAATTGGCCTTCGGCGCTCATATCTAACATATATACACATATTATGTGGTATTATATAAATTACGTCAATGCGTAGATCGTGTACCACATCTACTGACCGATGACCGAGGCGAGGCGTAGCGGGGCTGCTCAGGTTGCAATAGGGGAATTAAAGCTGCTGAAATTAATAAATATCTAGTAAACGTCAAGTACGATTTCATTTAATCAATATAAATGATTAATAATCAAGTTACATTATGACAGACCACGTAGAAATTCGTGAAAAATGTTTACCAGTTATAATTATTATGAAGACATGATTATTTTATTTGCAAGTATAATACGAATGTTCCAGTTTCAAATTATATTCCTCCACATTTTTACGACCTAAATTGTCATATCGTGTTTAATTGAAAATGGATCCCGGTTGGGAACATATTCGCGTGACGATTTTATACGAACGTTTGCGCGTTTACCGCTCAAAAGAACCCCTTTGTCGTATCTCCTCAATTCCCCTTGCTGCCTTAGCCAGCATCGGAATCCTCGGCGTAGACATATCGAATGACGTTCAGTTCCGTGATTACTAGGAAGGGATGGCTAAATTTGCCTCTAAAGATCTAGGCGTGCTCAGTAGAGTGATACAGTATTTCATGCCAGCACACCGCTTGCAACTTTACAAGGCGCATGTTTGGTATCATATGAAATACTGTTCTCATTTCCGGGGCAGTACAGTACCAGCTCACTCCACTTGACCACATCCAACAAAGAGTGGCTCGCATCGTAGATGACTGGGTTTTTTTCTGATTGGTTCGATTCAATGGCGCCGCGAAGAGATGTTGCATCGCTTTAAATTTTCTGTCACATTAACAGCGGCAAGATCAGAACAATTTTTCGAATCAATGTCCACGGCAAAATTCCATTATCGCACATCGTGACAAAACTTGCGATACCATCCACACCATCTGAATGCTTGGCGGTCCACCACTGTGAGATTTACTAAGATTTTTATCCTTGCATAACTTCTTACTGAAATCGGCTACAATTTAAGGATCTTCAAGAAACGAGTTTATTCCTTTTCAAAGGCCGGTTACGCACCTGAAATTTCCCTGGTTTTGCAGTTGTTTATGGGCGGCGGTCGACACTTACCATCACGTTAGCCCGCATGCTCGTTTAGCCCTCTTCTATAAAAAAATACGATTTCTCACCTTGCCAAAACCTGGAATAACCGTGTGATAGACTTCTCAGATTAATAAAGGCTCTTCTAAGGCAACCGTGTACCCCTAGTTTAACAAGTTTCAGCACGGCCGACTAACTTTGAGACTTGAAAAAAAAGAAAGAAATCATAATATCCTTTAACAACTATGGATCAGATTAAGCCATCACAAAATTTTACACGAATATCCTCGCGTGTGGAGAAGAGTTTGGCGTCGATTGCCGCACAACCTCACTGATGCTGAGAAGCAAGCCCGCGTGGTAATAGTGTTGTGACATTTATATTTGTTCAATAAATTTTGAAGCAGGCACGACTCCGTGTGTTTATTACATTGTTACAAGTGATAAATCTTGGATTACAATGGCTGTACAACGGGTGTAAAAAACCTCTATCATCCTCTGATATTGCTCGGGATCTGTATTTCAAGCAATTGTTTTCAACATCGAACAAATAAAATAAATTCTGAAAAGCAAAATTCGACAAAAAACTTCGACAAAAAGTCATATTGATGAATATAATGAAAAAAGAACTGCGTGTTCGCTCGCTACCAAGCTGTTTCTAATTTATTGTGTTGTTAATTTGTGTAACATACATGATTGTAAGCTGTTATTTAAAAAAAAACCGCTAGGTTTCTTGCTGGATCTTCCCAGCACAGAGGTTTTTTTTCGAACCAGTGGTAATTAAACAAAAGAGTGACTTTCAATAAGTATTATTTATAATTTATATTGAATAAAAAAGTTTCTGTTTCTGTTTAATTCTGTTATTGTCAGAGATTTTTGTACTATGTTGCGAAAAATGATCTATTTTTCAGTTCCGCTCGATGATGTTAAATTTCTCTACTAAATTTTGTTTCGTGCGTTTTATAACCACGAGAATGACTACGCTTTATTGTTACAACATACCTAAGAGTTATTACTGCTATAAATAGTAATGCATTTATTTTCTGTTTTATACATTAAGTACCCATTCTAAGAAAATTAAAAACAAATCTCATAATAATATCAATATTACATAAAATCTATTTAAAAACAAGGGGTTATAAGCATTAATAGGATCAGAATCTGGGTCAATCATCAGATCTCCTCCATGGTATCATTATTGTATTGTCATCGAAGTTACAAAACTATGCCAAATTTCAGCTCAGTCGGATATCAGTAAGTGCTTCAAATTTTTTTTCTGGTAGTACATATGATGACAGCAAGATAATATAAAGTTTGTAAAATAAAAATAAAATGTTCGTCAAACTTGTAGTCATCAACTTTGAGTATTGTTTTAAAACCTAAATATATGGCAAAGGATGCCATTTCGGCATTAAGTTCGCCTTTGTACTAATAATTTTGAGTGCAATAAAGAATCAAAACTGCTGAACCCAAATTTCATAGATTGGTGTTGGGAGCTGGATTATCAGTGCGAGGGTATCAGCCTTACACTTACCAATACGCCTACACATCGTACTCGTACTGAGTAAGAGCTAATCCTCCAAGTAATGCGTGCCGGCTAGCGCATTCTTGAAAAAAAACTGTTCAGAGATCTAACAGAGTGAATATTTTTTAAATGTCTATAATAAGACTGAAAAACCGTTTAAGCTTTTAATTTTCAGAAATGTTTAATATTACTAATTTAATACAATATTCATTAATTACAATATTACTAAGTACCCATTGTTTGAAATATTTAATACACTTTCCGATTCATTTGCAGTAGCGTATGAAAAAAGAAAGAAATAGTTTCGAAATATATAATACCAAGTACCTAATTAAATTAAAAATTCAAAAATTTGTTTTCATATTTTATATTTAAATTTTTAACAAAATATAATGACTGCAAACATATTTATACACTCATGAACGAATTAAAATTGTTATGATCATAAACATGTATATTTGATATATATTTCACTTACCTAAATATTATCTTTTATACAAAATGTGGACAAGTAGAAAAAAAGATGAGGCGATAAAATATTATTTTGAATGTTCTTTGTACGAAATATCATAAGGAACATTTGAAATATTATTTTATTGCCTCTTTATGTTTCAAACACATTGTTTTTTCTCTCAGACCAACGAAGAAAGAAAGACGGAGCGGTGCGTACATTTCAGGTAACACCAAAATCATACTTAAATCATTGCAAGAACACGTACTCACGTACATATGCATTTAAAACATTTGCAACCATCAACATGATTTTGTGTGCCATTGTGTGCGTTCAGCAGTTAACTTTTAAGCTGTATTAAAAAAAGAAAGAAAAATGATGTGTACGCATATCAAGAAGTTAAGCACGGTTTCGGCATCACTTGAAATGTACGAGTACGTAGCGCTCGGTCTACGAGTGTCTTTCTGTTGGTCTGGAGTTACTTCATTTCATCATTTAATTTTGTTCAATGTTAATTAAGTATTAAATTGCTTAACATAATATCGATATACATGTTAAAGTAAATTAACAAGTAACCTGCTGATCGTGAGGAATTGGTGTAATAAAAGAACATTTAAAATACAATATTATGTACTTTGAAATTGATGTTTATTTGACATACTTATTATTTTATAATTTTTTACCTTAATTTTTCATCATTCATTAAATTATTATGTTAAAAAAATATTTTACTATTGTGAAATTTTTCTACCTTTTTCTATTTATTAATAAAAATTAGTTTGTATATATTTTATTATAACTGTTCGTGAAGAAACCTGCATGTCTAAGGAATAAAACATTTCAGAACATGTGTACTTCGTTAACATACACTGGAGCTAGACGGCAGATTAGTTGCACATCATTTCATTAAGTAATAAGTGGAAGTCTGTGTCCAGCAACGGGAGGTATAAAGCCTGTAACTTTAACTAAGTTATAGATTAAAGAACCTTTTGTTTTGCAATCTGAGCCTACACTATTATTATTTTATTTTTATTATATAAGTACCTAGATTTATAGACCGGCAATGTTACATTAAATCACTATAAAATAAACTTCTTTTATAATCAATCAAAATTGAAAAGTCTATTATGTACTATTTCTTAACTTACATTAAAGGTTTTATTTAATATAAACATAATCTACCTAAAATTAACTACTTACTTATGGCAGTTTATAAACATTATAACGAAATAAATAATGATTTAATCTAAAAATAAATGTGTGCTGCGTTGAAAAGTAATAGACATTATCTTGCTTAACTTCTTTGGTTGACTAATTAACAAAAAGTATTGCCAATAACAAAGATTTTTGTTTGTTTAATGGTTACGTCTAATGAACTTGATGTAGTAAAATATGCGGGTTATTTGTTGATTTCCAATCCTTAATTTTGAAATTAATAGGTGTAATCATTCTACATTATTTAAGTGTCCACAAATAAATATCTATAACGAAGTTCTAATATTTCTTCGGCTGTCAAAAGGTAATCTATTAGAAACGTTGTTATATAACGGTATACCATGATTCAACGATAACACTTTTGATACTATGTTTAAATCTTCATGTGCTTTTCCATTAAGGCCTGTTTGCACTAGTAATTGTTTTAATTGGGCGTCTGCGTTAAATTGGTTTTGTCGGTTATAATTATGAGGAAAGAAACGGTTCGTATAAATAGGATTGAAAGTGTTGAATCTATTATAATCTGGATTATTTAATCCAAAATTTCCAACTCCATTTTCTTGACGAAACACTCGGCTGCCTTGCGTCGGTCTGATTTGATCTTCAGATGTTCTTATTTGATTAAAATTTGTACCTTGATGAAATGGCAATTGGTTTGGATTTGGTAGCAGGAAATTACTGATGCCTTGTGGGAGATGATTTTCTTGCAGAGGAAATTGCTCAGGTCGTTGACTACGGAGATGGATAAGAAAATCTACAGCCTCTCTGTTAGGAAGTTGCTGTTGATTTGCTAGAACATTAACTTGCTCTAAATGTACACTAGGTTGAATTGATACTTGGGAGTTTTGACTTTGAAGTCCTGTACTTGGGTTCGAAAAACGATTTGATTGTGTATTTTTTTGCGCTTGATAGTTGTTGAATATTTGGTTTGATTGAATTTTTTGTTGGTCAACAATAATCTGCTGCCTTTTTAACTGGTCTTGATTGAATAAAACTTGTTGCTGTCTTTGAGCTTCTTTTTGTTGTAGTAAAAACTGTTGTTTTCTTAGGAGGTCCTCTTGTTGTCTTTGTTGAAGTTGTAAAAATTGAAGTTGTTCCTCTAGAATTCTTTGCTTTTCTTCAAGTTGCCTTTGCAATAACAGTTGTTGGGAAACAAAGTCATTTTGAGGTATTTTATTTATGTTTGCCCTTTCTAAAGAAAACTGCTGTGAGAATATTTGTGGCGGTAAGGTCCCTGTGGGTACGTTAGTTGTTTGTGGCAATTTCATCGTGTCCTGTATATTTGTTTGTTGGTAAATCGGCACAACTCTTTTTGGAAGCCCATGGCTGTCTTGATGAACTGTGAAAGCTGCAACTAAGGGAGCTTGAAAAACTTGTACGTCTTTTTGGTCTACTTCTTCGATATTTTTACCGTCCAGATCATGTGTCGGTTTGGGTGACGTAGTTGTTGTTGTTGTAGTAGTTGTAGGTGTTGTCGTTGTTTTTATGGTCGGCCTGAAGGTGTTTTCTTTTTCGTTATTATCAATTTTTGGGCTTTGTTTTGTTCGTAGATGGGAAAAATTAATACTTTCTCTGGTTTGAAAAATTTCTTTATCAAGAGATTTTGTTGGAAGAGTAGCTAATGATTGATTTTCAACATTTCCCACTGTTGTGCCCAAGATAGATATATTACTATCTTCTAGCATAGGTGTCGCATCTGTACTGTTTGTGAAAGCGGATTGGCCATCAACTATATATGAGTGGATCTGTATGTCTGACTTAGATGTTTGCACAGTTGTTTGCACATCTTCACCTGTTTTTAAATATTCCGTCTCTGCAGTTGGATTAGTCGTCTGGATGTCCGTTATGTTATCACTGTCTTCAAGATCAGTGAGGGCTTTTAATAAAGCTTTCCTTATATATGGATCTAACCTTGCAGAAGGCGTTGGTTCCAAGCTATTCAATTTGTCATTATTACTATAATTTTCAGTTTCTTCTTGCGCTATGCTAAGCGAAAATATAGCAACGAGAATAATTATCGCCACCTGAAACAAAAAACAAATATCAATGTTAATATAATAATCCTTTTACATATATTTCTGATGATTTAAAGTATGTGCCTATAGTCCTGTACCTATAGTCTTTTGCAACACAAAATATGATTTCAAGAAACTTTTATTTAACAAACAACAAGTTGTTTTTCTTGCAGGTTATCTGTGTTATAGTCCTGTATGTGCCAGTGTCTATACTAAGGATCTTACTTTGTTTTATTTTCCCTTTGATATAATGCAAAGTTTTGAGAACCGGTAATTTTTGTTAGTGAATATTGCCTCGCAGTGATTAGGCTACGCGAAATGTCAGTACCTGGCAGTTAGTTTGTAAATTAAAAGAATTCTAAAAGCCGTGCATTTTTGCACATGAGCATTTTTCACACTTCGAAATATTGCTATTACAGCCACGACAGATATAAACGCTACTAAGTATGAGGCAATGACAATTTGTTACATTGTTAATGGTTTAATAAATTCTCTCACATCTTATAGCAATATATGTATATCAAGTATAATATAATAAAAATGGAATAATGTAATGTCTTTTAAAATCCCTAACTACCGTGAAGCCGATTAATAATCCTATTGCCGTGACTAACGCAATATGAAGTCGAGAAACAGCAGTATTAATCTCCAATTAGTTGTTAAACTTTAACAGCCTCAGTAACGTGTTATGTGAACGTTTACTCCCACTTTTTATTTCTACAAATTTTTATACAGTATGAAATAATCATTGTATCATCATTATCATCATCATTACAGCTTATAAAAGTTGCTGATCTGAGCTGATCAGCATAGTATGAGTATAATAGGTAATATCAACGGAGAGCGACAATTATAATATTTTACGTGGTAGAGCCATGCTGCAGCTATATTAATAGTATAGTTGTAGCACGAATGGGTCGACTCGACCGGGGAAGGACCACGCTCTCACAGAATATCAGCGTGAAATAGCAGCTTAATGCTACTGTGTTTCGTATGGTGAGTGTAGAGAACCGGAGACCCTTTTTATATTTGGCATTCTATCTTAGTCCTCACGGCTGACAACGCATTTGCATTTTTATTCGTAATCGAAGATAGATGTAAATGTCTATAAGTCACTGCAACCTCTTACCATCAGGTGGACTGTGTGTACTTAAAAAGATGTAGATGTCTATGGGATACAGCAATCACTTACCATCAGGTGGACTATGTTCTCGTATGTCACTCTTATTCTATAAAAAAAAAAATTAACAGAAACCCGACAAATAAAATACGATATAATATACACCGATATAATTACTATACTCTTGCCTCGTCCGTACGACAATCCACATTTTAAAATAACCAATGAAATAACTTGGACAGAATGACACCGATATAATTACTATACTCTTGCCCCGTCCGTACGACAATCAACATTTTTTGTAGAGGGGAGGTGGAGAATTAACCAAAACAAGTAGCTATTTTAAATATCTTTACTTTAACGCGTCACGAACACAGCGCTGTCAAAACTCTTTTCCGGTCAAAATTATCTTTAACTGACGAAAATAGTCAATAGTAGTTTTGACAAAAAATATTGGTTAACAGAGGGTTTTACTGGAAAATATCGATCAGTAGTTTTGACAAAGACTGGTGGTTAAGATGACTTGACAAGGAATATTTAGCAAAAAATTGTGTTTGATATTTTACAATTTTTAATAGTTTATTGCAGTAGGTATAGACAGTAAATTTCACATTGTGGTGGTGCAACGCATTATAGAAAATTCCGTGTGAATCGCACGATAGTGGACCGGCAACTAACCGGCAAAAAATTAAATTCTACACACACTCACTCTCTCTGTCTCTCACACATACAAACACATACACTGACACAGACACACACACACACACACACACACAGACGCACCTAGATTTAGAAACACGTATCTATATGTTTTTTTTTTCTGTTTTTATTCAACAAAAGTTTGCTAAATATAGGAAGGAACTATGTCCTGTTACTCAGGTTAACCTTTTACAAGAGATAGGGCCACATTGATATGTATAAATTGTTTTTGTTGCAATAAAAAAAGAACTATCGAAATGATGTGGATTAAATTTAGAGTACTGTCGCGGCGTACGATTGTGGAATTTAGCAACTGAAATTAATCTGACAACTCCATTGAGCCCTCCCTGTGATATATGTGATAGATGATGCCCAGATATGCAACGTCTCTTCGCAATTAATGATCATAATATGTACGAAACCCTTATAGAGCGAGGCCCAAATCACACTTCACCGAATTTTTTAAAACGTAATATTACTACAGTACCAATTGTGGTATTTTTTTTCAGATATTTAGTTACATTGTTAAAGGTTTTTTATAAAGTTAATTTTCAGTATACCACACATTTTATCTTACTTCAAAAACTTTTTTTTCAATTCGATAAAGAGGAATTGACTTTTTTTTAATAATTAAAAAAATTCTATCCTTAATGGTGACAAAATTAATAAAAAGTAAAAGCCAACATCAAAGTTAATATCGTTACAGCCCCTTACATGTTTATTTGCATTTTTCATCGTAATTCAAATCCGAAGATATTATTTCATTTTAGCTATTTATGCCATTTAACTACTTTTTAATGCCATTCGCACATGAATTTATTTAATCATTACTTGGATTTGTTATGATTATTTGGATTTTTAGTTAACTAATTACTAAAAAGTCCAAATAATGATAATTAATTTATTTTTTAGCTTTTATATGATATAAATTGTGTACTGTAATAAATTGATGGGTTTGATTGAATTTAAAGTAAATTTTATTCCCTTGTTTGTTTTCAAAATATTTTTTTACTATTAATTTATTTTAAACTTTTTAGTTATTGCTGGACATGTTTTAATTTTATTTAATGCGGCATTGTTGGTTTTTGATTGCCACCTTATTTATTTCTACTTCCTCCCACGTTTCGACGATCGCAATGGTTTAGTCGTCTCCGATTACGTAGAACAATATAATGTTCTTCTTAAGGCGCAGGTTGAGCAAAATGTCACGCTAGTCGTTATTTGTGCGGTTTTTAGGAGCTATCTACTTTTTATTTAAAAGATATATCAACAAATAAAAAACACATTATATTTCTACATAATCTTGATTCCATAAAAGCTATATCCAATTTTTTTAAAGGAATAAATATTAATATAATCTCCTTACAACGAAACCACATAAATGTGAAATTATTATTGATAACATGCATCTCCTCGTAAAGTAAGTATTATTTAATTTTGCGATTTACACCAATGGATAGGCAATTTATTAATGAACATTTCTATTATAATTTTTTTTTCAAAAGACCAAAATTTGATTTTATTAAGAAATTATTTTAAATCTGGGCGTATTCACTGCCCACGGGCTTGTTGGAGTCAGTGAGCGCTGAGCTCTTACACGTGGAACTCGTGTCGTTAGAGCGTCTGCCAGCGCACACGCTCATGTCATCTTATAAGTCGATAATATTATGATATGGCTTCATTACACAACAAACTATGTTCAGTACGAATCTTGTAATCGAATTAGATTAAGAGCTTAAACTTTATCTCTACATTATTTGAATTAATTATATTGAAAAAATTATTTGTAGAAGCTTAAACTGTCACTTTGCCCAAGTTTTTTTCTTTTTAGTCTATATACGGATTAAAAAGGCTGAAGATGCGATTTATTTCGTTAATGTGCTTTTTACACTTCCTAACAAAATATTTATTATATTTTTTTATAGTATAAGGGTGATAAACGAGCACACAGTCCACCAGATGATAAGTGGTTGCTGTGGCCCATAGACATCTACATCTATCCACGTTTGCGAATCAAAATGCAGATGCGTTGTCACCCGTGAGGACTAAGATAGAATGCCTCTTTTGCAGTAAAAAGGGTCTCCGGTTCTCCGGTACACTCACCATACGAAACACAGCAGCATGAAGCTGCTATTTGACGCTGGTATTCTGTGAGAGCGTGGTCCTTCCCCGGTCGAGCCGACCCATTCGTGCTACAACTATACTATTAATATAGCTGCAGCATGGCTCTACCACGTGTATGAAATGTAACATATGAGGTGTAACAAACAAATTTTTGTTCTCAACAGTCGGGAACTTAATTTTAAGTATAATATAACATTTTCGGCTCATTTTTATGTGTTAAAAAGCTTAAGTTATAATCTACCATCTTTCAACCCAGAAATATTAATAACCTCCACAACGAATTTTGATCACAGCGGCCATTCTCAACGGCGATATAGCCATCTGCGCTATCCTGTCATGTCTGTCGTGTGAAGGGGTGTATGCGCAAAATCAGGTGCACTCTCTGTTCCCTCACTCTCATAGTCAAATAGGACGTCAATCCAATGTAACCGGAGAAAGGTCAGACGCAAGACCAACTGCTTTACGTGCTTTTGTGGCGCGGCAGTGAACCAAAAACCCACTAACTGATTTTGGATTGACTCGAGATTCAAACCCGGACCAAATGGTCGGCAGCTGCACTTACGATCACTAGACCAACAAGGCAGTCAAGCCTAGAAATAATGCATTTCTGAACATAGGCCTCTGAATTTGCAGCAACCGCCACGAGTCAGGCGCGTCAATCAATCTTGCACCATTGATGCTGATATGCCTAAGCAGACTTCGATACTACTAATAGAATTAAAATTTAAGTAGGTAGAATTTGTAAAGCGTAGCTAAAGTGATGCGTGTGAAATTTCTCTCATATTTTTACTCGTATATCTACCTAATACAGCAAAATGACTGACTCGTCATACATTACAATCCTATACAAACGACAGTGTGTCAGCCAAGTTCGAAACACAGTTACACGAACCATTTCGAGCCACTTTCGAGCCCTCATTAACTCAAACATTATAAGACCTACTACTGCTACTCACTTGTAATTTTGTATACTTAACATGGACCCCAATATCTAGAATCCTAAATTTCATATATCACTCCCTGAGTCACACATCAAAAAACTAGGCTACATTTAGGTTACTTAGAA